GGATTTAAAACAATAGATTTTGATTTTCAAATCCATTAAAATACACAAATCAATAACTCACACTAACAATTATTGGGGGTGAACCTTTCTTATTCGTCCCTATGAAATAATCAATCAAAATTAGCTACATGTAATCTAACTAAACAAATTAAAAATAATTAATCTTAACTAAATAAAACACTTTAATTAAATCAATAAAAAACGAAAATGAATTAATTGTTTTGACCACTAATTGTGTCACGTGAGAATCATAAAACAATGTTTTTTTTTTGGATTTAAAACAAGAGATTTTGATTTTCAAATCCATTAAAATACACAAATCAATAACACACACTAACAATTATTAGAGGTGAACTCTTCTTATTAATCCCTATGAAATAGCCAATCAAAATTAGCCACATGTAATCTAACTAAACAAATTAAAAATAATTAATCTTAACAAAATAAAACACTTTAATTAAATCAATAAAAAACGAAAATGAATTAATTGTTTTGACCACTACTTGTGTCACTTGAGAATCATAAATCTGAATTTTAAAAGTCATTAACCCTAAATAAAATAAAAAAATGTCATTAACCCTAACTCTTTTCTTCTTCACGCCTAACCGAATCACCATAAGAACTCTTCCAATCTTAATCAACATACCTTATTCATAGTTTTTTCTCTTTCCTACATCTTTCACATATCATCAAAAGAGATTAGTTTTACCAGAAGAAAGAGATTCACGTTTCCACATAATTTGGACGTAAGTAAAAATATTCTTTACATTTAAATCAAAATTTCTTAGTTTGAAAATTAGTCAATCGAAGATTATGTGTTTACTAGACTCACGTAGTTCTATTGAATAACATAGAAGTGGGAAGTTGTTTGTCCTTTCTAAACATGTTACTACGAGAATTTATGTTGACTTTGTTTTTAAGTGTCGATTTTTCTAAGCATGGTACTCTCTTTCTTATTATTTTTTGTTGACTTAGTTTTCAAAAGACATTTTTTTCCTTGTTGTTAGATCGTATCGTATTGCTATTTTTTTGTCTTATTGGCAAG